AGGGGAATGCTACCTAGTAGGAGGACACCGGATGGTGAGGTGCTTTGGTGGCTTTCAGTGGACATGTTTATGGGGGTTGGGTTGGAATGGGATTGTTAGGATGTGCCAGAAACATAGATGGGGGTTTGAGGTGACAGAGAGAGTATGGACGCAGCGCGGGGTGACAGTAGAAATAAGTAGACAGAGTGACAGATAGCCTCTGTTCCTGCCATTGTGCCAACTACGCGTTCGTGCGACAATTGTCTCTCACTAACATGCTGGGATTGTTGTTAGTGTAGGCGATTCTTTGATGTGATGAAGGGGAATCGCCCCCAAGTATCCACTTGTAGTGGGGATTAGACAAGGCCCGAACCATGATCCAAGCGGCGCTGACAGGCACCGACAGGTGCACGTCGACGATCGTTATGGCCATTGGATGGACAGTAATGGCTGGATTGAAAACATCCCGGCCTAGCAGCTCAGCCGTAAAGTCTTTCCAGTCTGGAGGCTGTGCTCGCTTGGGGCGATTGGACACTAATGCCGGGATGCGGCGGGTTTTGTCTCTATCCTCTTGCGGCTATGCTTTCCGTCAATGGCAGTTAGTATATGCTCTAGCTCCCTCTCCCCCAGCCGGAAGCCCGCGACCGATTTTCCTCCATGTTAACATTCCCTCTATCCATTCTTTGTCGCTATGTCCAGCAGCATGACGCCCTCAGAAGATTTCCTTTCTGCAGGCGCATGCCATTGATGACTTGAGCCCGAATGAAATAGCTGCCGATATCGGTCTGCTCTTTGCGTTAGCTGCGGTCCTGGTCCGAGTGTTGTCCAGATATTGCTCGCTATCTCCATTTGGATGGTATGTTTGCTAACATCAGGGTCACTCTTTTCAAAGCCAGATATTTGCGGACCAGCCGTATGTTATGTCGGTTTGAACTCTGGGATATCACACCTTGAATTATACACCGTCTCGAAAGAACTACCACAAGATAGCATCCGTCTCACACACGACATCACCCATAAGACCTAGCCATCCGCATTAAAAATCGAGTCTGTGAGGAGCTGAGTAGTAGAACTGACATTGTCGGAGCATTCTGCTGATATTCTCAATATTGTCGTTGTTGGTGATCGTTGTTGCCAAAAGCGGGTCGAGAGCGTCGGGTCCAGGTCACTCTGCAGTCAGCAGTTAAAATCTGGCTAGTATTAACCTCAAATAAGGGCCAGGCAGGTCAATTCGGCCATCGGTCCATCATAATCAAGACTTGAAAGACAGTCCTTGTAGAAAAGTAGGCTTTATCTTCGCTCGCAGAAGACGAGCGAGACCCTGAGGTAGTGGTCTTTTTTTATAGCCAGATATTTCAGAATGCCTTGATTACGTTGTCATCCATATAGTCCTCTCAAGAGGTGGTAGGCGACTGGGCCGATTTAGGGGCAGTTTGCACGTATTCAGTTTTTGGAATCTTTCAGAATAGGAGTGGCCTGCAGCGGCCATGTAAATCTGATCTATAGCAATAGCATAGATCATGTGATCCCAGAGGGTACAGGCAGCACACGCGTTCGGAAAAGTCTACCTAGATATCATGGTTCTCCAAGAGATTCTAGTAGAGCTGCCAGATCTTTGAGGTGCATCATAGAGTGCGCGAATTTTGGAAGGTTTCCAATAGAATGAGCTGATAAACGAAAGTATATAGTTTGCAGATTGTATATAAGCGTTACCATATATTTATTAGCTTCAGCTCGGATAGATTGATCGTAATGAAGAAATGTGCCAGCTGGGTACGCACAAATGGACTGTCCTTTTCTAGATAGTTAGTCCAAGGGCGTGCTGTGACATGTGACACAGCCAACGCCCGTGGAAAGAATCTCCGGTGTTGCGCCCCTTTTGGTTGCCGTAAGCTTAAGGTTTCCACGCGCTAAACTCTAGAACTTCGGGGTCTGTCCGATTTATAGGCTCACCCCTGGTTGGTGAAATTCGGAGGATATTACCAATAAAAGAAGCCTAGAACAGTGTTAAGTTCTCTGTCATCAGATTTTGTTGCCAACACGTACTTCGTAGACTACCCTACGGAGTTCTTTAGTAGCAAGTACTGGATAGATCAGGCAACACCCACCACTAATGAGAAGGGTCCGACTACCGGCCAGGCTTTGGAATCCCGACTGCTGTCACTCAAGACGATCGGAATGTGAAGAAATGACGTAGGTGTGTTACTAATTATGAGGGCAGCTTAGTTATAGTAACAAGATATCACCGAGTATCTGCAAATTAATGGCTTCTACTACGTCGTGCCCACTGGTTCCTGTACAACAACAACAACAACAACAACCTTTACTGGCAGCGCCACATTAAAACTACGTGTTCTAGGCTGCCACGCATCTCCCCTGACGTCACAGCCACTACCACTGTTTACGGTTTTGGTTGTTTCTTTTTCGCATGTTGATTTTTCAGCTGTTTTACCCTCCCCCTTTTTTTTCCCCCATTTCCCTTCCATGGGTGACCGATCAGATTATTAAGTCCTGGGTCATCCGGTCGGATAGATGAGCAGTTGGATGGACCGACTCCAGCGAGTACTCCATCCACAGGGCGGGATAAACATGGGTCACTCACACCCACTAGGAGAAAAGAAGGGACTGGCAACGATCCCCTAAACCGGAGGGGGTAAAGTCGGGGCGCTATTGAAGTTAGCGGGTGGATGTGCGGTGGAGAGGAACAATAGCCTAGTGATGGGGACCAGTGGATAGCAATAGGTACGATTCTCCAGCAGCATTTTCTTCAAGCGAGTGGTTCAGCCTTAAAGCAGGTCGCTCTGCAGATTATACGATGAAATGTATAAAAGGTGGCTGAGTGATTCTATATGTGGCACTTCTTTGATGGTTGCCTACAGGTTGGACCATAGGATGATAGCTTGGTACCTATAGCTGGGGACTCGGCGCAAACACAGCCCATCGTAGCATTGTGACGCTCTCACCCGATCAAAAAGGACCACTGATTAATTTAGTTTCTTCACACCGAATTGAAAAGAAGGAAAAATTTACTTTATGCTTTGTAGAAACTTCCCACCCTATCCCCATCCACTTCTTGCCAGCGGGTCGATCAGTTACCCAGCCTGGTTGAGGAGAATGTTGCGCACTGAACGTTGGGCAGGACGCAAGATTGTGGGCTGGCCAATCGTAGTCTCAAAAGCGATGTCATGTCACTGGGAGACCCGGTGATCAGAACAGACTAGAATTACCAGAAAGGAGTCGATGAGCAAGGGAAATTGATTTTCCCCCTCGTCTTTCTTGGTGTTCCCTCGCCCAGCAAAATTCGTGTTGCGGATCATCGGCTCCTCTGAGAAGCTTGCTTGATCGTCATTTCGATTATTTAAATCACACCTCCACCTCATCTTCTTTTCTCTAGTCGCTTCTTGCTGGTTATCCTACCGATTTACTTCTCGTTCCTACTTCAGTGACGCTAGCTATCTACTTCGTGCTTACTCCAATAGCTACTACATCACACTATTGGCGACCCTGCATTTGCATCGACTCCACATCACCTAATCGCCAACATGCCTGTTATCTCCCGCCTAATCTCCATTGTCTTTCGCGTTGCGCAAATTGTTTGCGGTGCGGTATGTATTTCAATATGATTAATAAAAAATTATTCTGCTCTCTATTTCACACGCTAACATAGTTATCAATTTCTATAGGTCGTCGCTGGTATCATCGGTCACTACCTTGCCCAATACAGCGGTGACGCATGGCCTGAGGCCCGCTGGATCTACACCGAAGTTGTCGCCGGGTTATCAATCCTCCTGGGCCTGATATGGCTCATACCATTTTCCTCTGGATTCTTTTCCTGGCCATGTACGTCGTCACATGTCCCTTCTTTATTCCTCCGCAATTGCTGACTCGTTCCTTTTCCCGCAGTTGACGTCATCATCTCCCTTGCGTGGTTTGCCGCATTTGGTATCCTTGTCAACGCCATTCACAAGTTCAGCTGCGGCAGTATCTGGCACTGGGGGGGTCTCTACCGCAACAATACTTGCAGTCGCTGGAAGGCTGCTGAAGCATTCAGTTTCATCTCGGCTATTGTCTGGCTTGCTTCGGCGCTGGTGGTATGTTTTGTTACACCCCCTGCTGGCTATTGATGCATACTGACGATCGTGATACAGGGTCTTTGGTTCACTTTCCGTGTCAGGAAGGATAGCACTGCTCCTACCTAGTAAGCCAAATTATGACCGTCATTGTGAGAAATTCGATACTAACAATGTCGCATCAGTGGTCGCCGTCGCTTCTTCGGCCGTTCTGCCGTCTGAACATGGAAAAATCTCAGCGCTAAATAGTTGGTCCATTTCACTATGGACAACGAATACCCCATCTAACGGAGACTTGGAAATGCCGCGCATGTGCTTTGCGCCACGCAAATTTCTCGACTCCAACGCTCTTTTCACGTGAAACGTTGATTAATGCTTCTAATACATGATTACCGCCGACACTAGTACTAATATTGCTCGAGATTTTGCTTCTATATATGGTGGAGGCTCTGAGGAGATGAGATGAGATGATATCATGATTTTGCTTTGCTTATACCCACCTATAGCTGTTTGAGCTGGTTGCTTTTAGAGGTACTGAGGCGTCCATTCGTTACTATACCCCAGGAGCTGAGTCTGAGTGCCAAGCGAGACATCTGATATCGAGCATGCGCACTTGGATAACTTACTTCAATATACTATATCATAATATCAGAACTGAAACAGTTGAATTATATACCAATTTACTGAACTCCCCATCTAATATCTGCGCTATGTTTCTTCTTATGGAAACGGCGATCATGTGAAGATCATACATGCATGTGTCAGGTGATCAAGGTAACAGCATCCTTACAGACTCGTTCCTGGCCGCCCCTTCCCTCTCATCGTCACGAATCGAAGAGGGTCATGATCTATTCGAGCTTTTTCTGATACAGTTCCTACCAACAGCACCAAGTCTGCAGATCTCTCCGGCGATTGAGCTGAGATACTAGTACTATGGCGCAGTTTAAGATATCAGCATCCACCGCCCCCGCCTGTATGATATATCAGACCAACTCATATAAAGACAAGGAAGAACTTACCACCACATCCTGAGCTCCCCCCTCCTCCCCCTCCCCCTCCACCACATCCTCCAGCGCCACCACCACCGCACCCTGCAGAAGCACCACAAGCAGACGCATTCCCACAAGAGACACAGTTCCCAGCCGCGATAGAAGAGCCGCACGTCCCGGAAATACAATTCCCTTGCCCACTAAGCGATCCGTCCGTACAGTGAGGATCGTCATGGAACAGCTGTTCAAGTCCATCTACAAGTTTCTCGATGCCATCGAAGAAATTCGAAATGGCGTCGACGGTCTTATCATCATTCTCATGGTTGACCTCATCTTCGGATGACAACATGCTTATCTCGTCCTGAGAAACAACTGTGTCCGTAGTCGGACTGGTTGGCAAGACAAGAGAGTTGACCGCTGCGAGGGCAGATTCAAGCGCCCTGGATGAACGGGAATGCTTTTGAGCCCGCCTGAGGGACTTTCTGTAAGCTTCTAGAAGCTGCAAAGCTTTGGTTTCTCTCATGATTCGGTTGACCTCACTATTCTGAAGGCGGACAGCACTGTGAATAGAGATGTGCGGCCCACTGTCAGACTTAGAGGCTTGATCATGCTGTCTGTGCAACTCATCAACGGCTTTGCGGGCATCGGAAAGCCACAATAATGATGAGCGGAAGTGACCGTAGAGATCGGGATAGCGGATCGCCTCGCAGAACCAACAGACGCATTCGCTGTAGATCCCCCCATCGGTAACCTCACGGTATGTTTTGCAAGTCCATTCGAATCCATTGGTTAGTTTTAGCTCATCAACCTTGTCATTGTGGTCGATGAACTGCATTGGCCTATTGGTTAAACGCACGCTATAGTTGTAATATTGTCTGGGAGAAAGTTGGTGTGTGTGCCATGCCAAATCCACATCTAGTGTCGGCACGGCCATTTCTTTGGGGTTATCAGCCATGATCCCGAAGAAGACACTGTACTTTCTGATCATTCGGTTTATGGTGGCGTGGAGAGTCGGTGACCTAAGCCAGTTGATACGGTCCATTTGTTGAATGAACTTGCCCTGTCTGATGACAGCGCCGAGCAAGTCCAAGGAGAATGGGCTAGAGTTATCCCAGTATCGAGAGATCATCCGACGGATGCATATCTTCTCAACCCGAGTGGGCTGAACCTTTGAGAAATGTGACTCGTGTGCCATCTGCAGGACTCTGCGTTCTTGGACTCTTTTCTTGAGATAATCGCGCACAGCGGCGATACTGTGGCATTTATTGAACTTGGGATCGGTAAATTCCAGTATGTCGTCTGCTACAACTCGGATAAGTTGGCTTGGATATAGGAATGCTGCTTCTTTCCAGCTCATGGACACTGGAAATGGGACACCACGTAAGTTGTAGAAGCACCCGGGCATAGGCCGACTCTGTTCCCGCACTGACCGCACATCTTGACGCCACTTGGCCAGCTTCAGCCGGTCATGGTTAATAAGGTAATCACAATTGTGGCAGACAGCACGGAAGCCCTTGTCAGCTAAGCCTGTGCAGTTGTCAAAAGGAAGGTTGACGTCTGTCACGTCTTCGCCCGCTGTCCAGCTGACGATGACCTCGGTGCCGCAGTTCGGACATTGAACAATGGTAGTGAGCGATCAAGAAGGTTGTCCCAACTAGAACCGACCTGAGACTCGAAATACCGGGACGCTTCCTCAGTTGCCGTGTAATCAAAAGTTGTGCCATCGATTTGCTCGTCAAGAAGCTCCCAAGGGAAACCTGCACCCCAAACACACATCTTGCCGTACCGGATACAGTCTTCGAGATACTTGCGTGGATTCAGCATATGCGAGTGCCACACCATAAGAACATCTATCCCACGTCTTGTTTCAGCAAGCAGTGTGTCAGTTTGAGATCAGAATCACTCACCCAGGGGTGGAAGGATATCTTGGTGCCACTCCACTATTTTCTCAGGCTTGACGACATTGGCATAAGCATTTCTGCGAATTTCTGCCATTTTGGGAAGCGGTTCCGGGCTTGGGAGACAACGGAACCACCAATTTTTGTATCGTTTCACAGCCCGTGCGACATATACAGCCCAGCGCTTCTCCTTAACCAAGGCATGGTATTTGTCTTGAGCATCGCCCTCTTGATGTCCGTCTGTGTCGTGAAGCCCGAAAAGCCCGTCATTGTTGCTAACTACATCTCGCAATTCAGCAAACGCTGAGAGAAGCTTGAGATGAATGACACACTGCTTCTGGGTGACATATTTTGGCTCTGAAGAGGGCGATGTTGACACATCACTCAATAGGAAAGAAGTCATGCTTGAAGAAACGCTTCCATGCTTCTCAGTCGTTATGAAGTGAAGATCCTCCGATTTGCTCATATCGACGTTCGGTGACTGAATATATACCTCATCTGTGTAGAGAGCAAGGCTGCGAGAGGCATCCTAGACGAGGCTGTGAGGCTGGGTCGTGCTCACCCGTGGTCAGGTGGCTAATGGCTGCGGTCATCCACCATGGTAACACGGTCAATTTGGCAAGTTCGTATTTGCGCAATTGTTCCGTGAAATATGATTTAAGCTGACTAAAAGGCATATCCACTGAAAGTCATGGTGTGAGGAAGGCAACAGAAAGGCAACAAATTAGAAGAAGCGTGATGGTCAGGCTATGCCACAGAACCATTCAGTGTTCTGTAGCTCCCTTTCTCATGTATGAAGAAACTCTATCTTGCCAAGCTAACAAACAACAAGGCTAGCCATGTCCGGTAAATTCGATGCGATTAACACATATACATCATTCAATGCATCGGTTGCAAGGCTACGATAAGATAGTGTAAGGAGCAAACTTCTACTGCCATGGCTTTTATAGCGATTGCTTCCAGCATCTGGCAAGGTATAATACTGACCAGCTATACAGGTCTCTCTCTTTTTATTGACAGGGGCAACCCGATATGCGCTTCTCCAATGATTGCGCTTGATAGGGAAGAATGGAAGCCAGCGAGGCTGCAGACTGTTTTCGGGGGAGGGACATCCTGGCATACTTGAGTGGCACCGACGATTTCTTAATGACGGCTTTTAGCCAGTTATCGTTGCACCGGTATAGCTCTTCAAAAACCATACTCTTGGAAAGGGTTCTATACTAAATGTGTTGGTTTTGCCTAATCCAGTCCATGATGACTAACTGGCGAGCTTCCGAAGCAACCGTTCATTCTTGATTTTGGATTGAGTTCTCCCGCGGTTCTTCCTCACAATATCGACGGAGCAACAATGCGCCCGGAGCACCCTTCGAGAAGCAGGTCAAGATCTCCATCGTCCTCCTTTGGAAAGACATCCCAAGACTACCCATTGGCCGTCTTTGATCCGAATGAGAATGACTCCGAAAGCAGTCAGTTCATAACGGTTGGGCGGGAAAGTTCCGACTCCGCCCGGCCCGACCGGCGAGAGACCACGAATGAACCATTATTGCCAACTTCAACCCACCATCCCCGACGCATAGCGCCGGAGCCATTTTCATGTACACTTTCTGGGATCCGCGCGTGGGTTAAAGGCCCGCCATACCCACACCGGTATCAGATCACCCCATGGTTGCAGCGCTGGCAGACGGCACCAGGCCGCCTTGTGGAGCGTTATTTTCCGAGCACCCGTGCCAAAGTTTGGCTATTGCTCGGATGCATATGCACCTGGGGTGTCATATTTCTGTCCATCCTGCATTCCTCTGTAGCTGGCCAGCAGGTATCCGGATACGGTGTGCCTGTTAAGCTATCATGTCACGCTAGACTATGGTATGTCGCTTGCTCGTGGTTCTAGGATGTTCTTAAACTCATCTCTATACAGGTCAAACTCGACCGACTGCGGTCTGAATGGTGACTCCTGTCGCCCCTTTGACAATGGGGCGTTTGCTTTTCGCTGTCCTGCAAGTTGTGCAGATGCGATGCTGCTAGAGCCGTACTTTGTAGGCCCGCAAGAGTACAATTATCGTCCTCTTGTTATCGGGGGAACTACAGATGGTGATAATACTGATGCCATCTACCGCGGAGATTCAGCCATCTGTCCTGCAGCACTACACGCTGGTCTAATAGACAGTCAGAAAGGTGGCTGTGGCGTCTTGCGACGAACAGGTGAAAGAAATAAGTTTCCGTCAGTGACAAGGAACGGGATCGAGAGCATTGGATACGCCTCATACTTTCCACTCTCCTTTACCTTTGGCGAAGAATCGTCCGAAACAAGCTGTCAGGACCTACGTTGGCCACTCTTCGCCTTTTCAGTCGTAGTCACGACGTTACTATCCCTGTTCATCACATCTCCCGCAGCATTTTACGCCTCCATCTACTTCATCGTCTACTTCCAGGTCGCTCTGTCCTCCGACCCGCCCTATTCCCCAGACTACTATGAAGTCGTATCCACAGCGCTAGGCCGCTTCCTGCCCTGCGCCTTCGTCGGCTTTGCGATGTACTACTTCTGTGTCCGCAAAACCCTGACAGATCTCACCGCACACTGGGACAAGACTGTCCTCTGGCTGGGAAGCTGCTGGGTCGGCGCCCTCAACACCGACACATTCGACAAGATTCCCATCTCACGCCTCACACCACATGACATCCAACAACAACCGGGCGCCATTCCCGCCTTGATCATCATCATCGGCCTTCTCGTCGCCATTGTCCTCACCCAAGCCATCGCTTTCCGCAGAGAAGGCCGCATGCCAAAAATGCTTCTTCTTTACGGAATCATGGTCTGCGGCGTGATCGCCCTGATGCTTGTTCCGCACATGAACCTCCGCATCCATCACTACGTCCTTAGTCTCCTCTTCTTACCCGGAACAACGCTCCAAACACGCCCGAGTCTACTCTACCAAGGCCTCCTTATAGGACTGTTCATCAACGGTATTGCGCGCTGGGGCTTCGACAGCATACTCCAGACATCTGCGGCATTGCTGGACGGCGCGCAGCTGGGCAGCGTCCTGCCTGTCATTGGTGCTCCCGCTATTTTGTCTAGTCAGAACATCATGTTCAATTTCAATGATGTAGATAAGGATGCAGATGGTATTAGCGTGCTCGTTAATGATGTTGAACGATTCAGGGCGTTCAAATCTGATGATGAGATGTTGGAGTCGTTCAATTGGACACGCCATTTGGATGGTGAGCCGGAGTATTTCCGGTTCGGGTATATCAAGGTCAACGCGTTGGGTGGTATTTGGTATGAGGATTTTACGAGGCCGGGGACTTGGGAGAGTGAGGGGGATTGGGTTCCTCCTGATGCTGATTCTGGTAATGATTCTGCGCTTGCCTCATAGTCTACGGCACGATTACCTAGTTGGGTAATGATTGGGCGAATATATTGGCAGAATAGGTATATATAGATTTTGAATAGTAAATTGCAGTATAGACGATTGGATAATGTGAATGCGCATTTTATGCACAGACTTACTCAGCATGCGGTGCAGAGCAATCTGGATAAATCAGGATCACGTGCTCTCCGCGTCGAGCACAAAACCACGCGCAATTTCGCGAAGCAACACACCACATGTGTAATATGTTAGAAGATGAGCCGCTCGACGCGACTCTGCCTATTCATAGCTGGTTTCTATGAACTTCTATGGATAGCGCTTTTCTAATCTCAATGACGATAAACCACACACAAAGAGCTTTCTCATGACACCCTTTAATGATTGATATCAGGCAGTGGACTTCATCCTTCGGGAGACCGAATGGAAGAAGACATCTGACCCAAGCGTGGATGATTGAGACTGAACAGAGATCTAAGAGATTACCAAGCTGCACATTTCTTTCTCAACATGCCCTTTTCATTCTATATTCATGGCAGGAAATTATCCTTAATGTTCGGGGATAGCCTTGCTTTGCTCAACTCACTTTTTTTTCCATATTATACTAACCCCTTTCACTTCTTCTTTTCTTGATATCGATGATATTTCCCCTTATTTCCAGCACTAACAATTTCTCTGATATATTTGCAAGAACCTACCACATTGTCCCCTCTGCTTGTTCCCATGATGCCACCGCCAATGATGACAAAGAAATCTAGCACTTTACTCCGAGACACACACATTGCTCCGTCTGTTTCTTATGAAGATAACGATGTCGAGCATGGTCAATGAGGAGTGATTTTATACGGTAGTTTTCAATCTGATGGCTATCTCATCCCTCACATTTCTCCTTTCTTGCTTTATGTTCCCCTATTTGCATATCAGACTAATGCTGGGATTGCTCATACTTTATGTTAGTTATATATCTATTTCTACTAACTACAAACTACGAGATGCAGTGAAATTGCTATTATCCATTAATGACATGGATACTACATTATATTCCATTGAACATGTTAACGTGCATACATACCATACAGCTAATTACACAACACATAGGATAGGATATTGGAATCAATGATATGGACAAGAGATGGACGAAATAAATATAAAAGCAGAAGCAGCAACAGACAGCCCAGTGACGAACTCATATGAAATCAAAAGCCAAATTTGCATGGTATCCGGCAATTTGACGAGTGCATTCTTGCATAAGTCATTACTATTATCTGCCTGGAAACCGGTGAGAACCTGAGAGCTAATCTGAGGGCTGTCTGCTGCTTTTGCTTTTTCTAGTTTAGTCGGAGGGGGTGTGTGTGGTTTTGTGATATGCTGTTGGTTGTTGATATAGTATCTGGCCTTTTCATTAGACTTATATTGTATTACATACTATAGAGACCGTTGATACTGGGTTAGATCTGTATTGATGGATGGCTGAAATTCTACCTAGTGTATGGAATATGGTCTATAACTTTTATTAATTATGTACATCTCAAACTCATCTATCCCACAAAACACTACAACCAAATCTATAATACAGCCACCTCACAGCGCCGCCGGCAAAATGGTATAATTCGCCGTAATATTCATCGCCGCGGCAAACATACACCGATAATCCCCACAAAAAGCATGAAAAACAATCTTACTGCCATCAATCGACGCCGTAGCACCCCCAGGAGACTTCAATCCGAAGTCCCCAGTTCGAAACAAAGGTCTCTCGGCCCTCGTATACGGCCCCTTTAACGACGTCGACCACGCATATTTAACACTGTACTTCGAAGAGGTATAGCAATGCGAGGAGAAGAACAGATAGTAGATGCCCCGATCAGTGCGGATAATATCCGGAGCTTCGACTAACGGTCCGTCGACTTTCTCATTAGTTAGGATTTCGACGGGGTCACCGACGGGAGTGACGCCGTCGTCGTTGAGTTGTTGCAGCATGATGGGCGTCGACACGATGGGTTTCTTGCCGTTGTTGCAGTCTCCGCCGTGGCCGACGCTGTTGCCGTCGACTTTGTAGACGACGTAGAGGGTCCCGTTGACGTCTTTGAATGGAGCGGGGTCGATG